GCCAACTTACCGTCATCAACCCGTGCTCTGTTCTCTGATAAAGCACGCTGTTTCAGCCAATCAGAGCGCGCGTTATATGGAAACTTTATTATAAATCTGCCTAGAACATCGGTTGTTGATATCAAAAATGTTGATTATAGCAACAGACAGGAGTTCAAAGTCAGCCAATGAAACCATTCAAAGTGAAGGCGTCGAACGCACTCTGTCTCGTAATCTTTGACTACAACTTGTCCGGCTCCGCAGCCAGCCTCTGCGCGTTCCTGGGCGTTCAGTTAGCTCGGGCTATGAGAACAATGGGTCGTGGTCCGGTCCAATTTAGCGAGATATTAGTTACATAATAGCAGTTTTCCTAGAAATAAAAAAGTTAGTCTAACGTAACCCCTGTGAGGTTTGCAGCCGGCAAGCGCTTTTTACAGCGTCACAATCCACCAGAGAGCAATACTATGAGACCAGGGGCCCATTTCTCGAAAGCCCCGGAAACTTTTCAGGCCTGTAAAGCCATTTTTAGTCCAGCTGTATCTAAAAGAGGGGAAGTGTATACGCCTCAAACTTCTTGCATGAAGGGAACTTCTCTTCATATTAAGAATATGTGAATAAACAGCTCTGTAATCGTAAGATTCGAGATTTTGCTATGGCTTTACGAGCCCGAAAAGTTTCCGGGGCTTTCGACAAACAGGCCCCAGGGCCACGTCGTCAAGGTTCGAAATCGTTTCACCTTTTACCTTGTATTTATTATGAGAACACGGCCGGGCCACATGATGGCCACATGAAGCCTCCAGATTTCAAATCCAACATGTTTACGACCTAATCACCGTAGGTGGCGCGCCATGGCCAAGGCCAGTGGCTGAAAGTAAATACTATTACACATTAACTTCAAATAAGGTCAATAATGCTAGAAGTAGACAGTCTGCACAGCCAGCTGGGGACAATAGTCGAGTTCAGGCAGCACAAATGGAAACCACCTCGACACCGGCACAGACCGGCTCCAACCACATTGGGTTTTGGGCCCGTTGGAAATACAACTTTAAATCGCACTTTGATGGCCATTACTTCAGTGTTTTCCCTTTTTGGAGCCTTGGTGATCATGGTCACTTACATCACTTGGAAGGATATCAGAACCACCTCCAGAAAAATCCTGGCCTATATCTCCATCGCTGATTGTGTTGTAGTTGCAAGTTACCGGTTTGGTGCATTCCTGCCACCAAACACAAATTCCGACGCTTGCGTCACGCAGAGTTTTCTCTCAACTACCGCTAACCTTTGGTCGTTTTTCTGGACCACGTTCATGGCTATATTTTTGTACATTACGATAACGAGACAGAAACCCCCCACGGTCGAGAAATTGTTCTGGGCTTGGCACATCATCGGTTGGGGAGTTCCTGTTCTCATCGTTGAAAGAGCGCTGGAAGATGATGTTCTTGCATGGGATCGAAATGACCGTGATATATATAGTTCAGGCTGGTGTTGGATTAGGGTGCAAGATGTCGGCAAAAGCGCTCACAAAAGCATCATGTGGATGCTAATCACAGGCAAGGTTTTGGAAGTGTTGGTTTTTGTAACTGTTTTGATATTCTACGGACTGCTGAAGTGCCATATTCGCCAAGAGGTAAAGAAAAAGTTTATTGATAGTACCAAGGTAAAGTGACAAGTTTTTCTTGTTATGTGAGTCAGGGGGGGAGGGGGGCCTGTCTAAAATTGCGAGGGGCCCGCGTTTACCTCTGTGTATAGCCTGTCCTGACAACTAAATTTTATCATATCGTAACAGGACCAAGAGAGCTTGCCAGATTTTTACTTAATCATTTTATTTCTTTCTCAGGTACATCGTAACGAAAGACAGATGATCACAAGTCCCTCTCTGGAGGCGGCGAAGAAAGCAGATAAAAAGCTGACCCTAGATCCCCTTGTTTTACTCATTCCTCGATCCTGGGGAATGCTTCGCTTTTGTATTTACTTGACTTCATCGGTAAATAAATCAGAGTCGATAAGAAAAGCTCAACATATTTTGCTTTATTTTCAGGTAAGTGTCAAAAAAAAAAATTTTTTTTTGAACACTGCTTGCGTGTGAAGTACAGTCAGGCTAAGTGTCACTCAGGCTAATCAGCGCTCGGCAATTTCAACTAACAAACCTGTACGTTCCACGTTTTTCATGTGCTCGCACTTCTCTTGACAAATCTTAAGCATTCTTATTCTGCTGATCATAATGGCTGCGCATAGCGTGAAAGACAGTCTATAGATCAGTTTCGTTTTATCTCCGTGTTCAATTCTTTACGTTATGAACCAGCCTGCTAAATTTAATGTAAAAGTCTAGTTATTCAGAAAACACTGATTGCACTGGGTAGAAAATAAGATTGTAGCTTTGGAAGAAGTTCCTTTTACAGACTCTTCTAGCAGGCGGGAGAGCTGTTCTTTTATCGGTATGACGCCGTAAACTCAAACATGAGTTTTCACCGCCAGCGTAAAAGCTGAAGAACATCAGCACTTCAACTACACTTTAACAATTAGTTATCAATTTAATAGACGTTAACCGCCTTAGCCAGTTTGTGAAGCTGAAGTCCTGAGCGTTAGGTCTTTCTCACATGAGAGTCTACCATGTCTGTTTTCTCATTTGTTGGGCCAGATGGTAATGGAAGTAATTTGCATTCAGTTTTCTTTTTCAGGGAGTGTTTGAATGTGCTCAAGAATTTGCCAAGTTTCTTTTGTTCTGCTTGTTTACCGAGAAATTTCAAGAGAACGTCCGTAGAGTGATGCACAGTCGCTACCCGTGTTTTGCGAATTTCTGGACCTACAATCCCGGCAAACAATCCTATCATTCAGAGGACAGCTCTGTCAGTGGGGAGTATTCTGAAATGAATGAAACGTCTTCGTTATTTCGAACATCGGAGGACATCAGTAGAAATTATCAAACTACTTAAAGCTACTAGAGGGTTTTCCGGCGGCAAATCTGCAAGAGATGTGGTGTACTGAATTATTGAACGGTTCAGAGAGGAGCCGACAACGAGAAGGCACTTTGTATGGTTAAAAACCACACCTACTTATGCACAGAAAGGAAAAAAAAACAAGTTGTGAACTAGGCTGCATCTAATATGCAATAATATTCAAGGCGGTTGGGAGAAAAACCTCTCAATAAAGTGTGGAGATTTCTGTGATTTTCCTGTTTTGAGATCAGTCTCGTAATGTATACGTTTCCATGAGGTTTTTCCCGGTTTCTTTCGCATTGTTTTAATATGATTTAGAGTAGCATAGTCGATCGCAGGTCATAACTGAGTCTGGTAACACCAGAATACCATAGAAATTGACGTCCCGTAAAAAATAAAGAAATAAACAAACGAACACATAGACAGAGAAATAAAAAAACATAAGCACGCAAGGCGTGCAAAAGTTATTTTTTGGGAATTAAAAGTTCTTGGAGGTAGCTACACTCAGTGGTATGATAAGGTAAATCCAACAAGTTTATTTGGTCACGATGCAGAGACAAAAAAAAAATAGAATTTGTTTCACTCAAGGAAATGTGATGTAAAGCCTCCTTTTATCGAGGTTTGATTTTAACAATCGATCAGTGACTTTGTTTATTAGAACTACATGGAGACAGCTAAACATCATGCAGTCTGTAACAGTAGCTAACAGTAAACGGCAGATTGGTGTTGATTTTGGATAATGTTTCTGACTCCACTTGTTTTATACCAAGAACCAATTTAAGACGAAATCCGATAGGAAATGGAGCAATTTCAGTTTTTAACAGGCGAAAACCTTGTACCAGAATGATTTTAAGAATATCACATATACAGTTCTCATTGCGTTTTCTAAAAGCTAAAGATGAAAACAGTTGCCTGAGATAACACCAAAAACAAGTCCATGTGAACTCGAGAAAATAAATTTCAAATTTCAGAGAAATTGTTCAAACACGGGTAACATTTCATCATCAGTTGAATTTCATCAATACTTTCAAGTGTTTCATATGAACTTCAATATTTGTTTTTGACAGTTGGTGTTGGTTTTGTCCGCCTTTTTGTGGTGGATTCTTTCTTAATTATAACATCGTCACGCAATAGATCGTTTTCACGTCATCCCTTTCTAAAATCCAAAACGAAAGAGCCACCAAAGTTTTTACCTCATCAGGCACAAGAGGCGGTATATTTATATCTGTTTACAATTTTACAGCTCACGTTTGGAATCCAGAGCATTTTGAATTTCAGGGTTATGGAGGTGCGTGACACAAGGCTATGATCGAGTTTGTCGAAAAATATATACTTATCCCATGATTTTGAGC